ATTCCCAAAAGTTAAAAACACATCTCACAATCATAGGACTAGGCGCAATTAAAATGCTTGACGGATGTCCGAACATGGAGACAGAAGATGAGGTCAAAAAATAATAGCTGAGATGCCACTACTATATGTACGTAAAACCATATGGTTGATGGAGATTACAATGAGAAAATTAACTAGAAACTATAGTTACTAGTGCTAGCTAGAATTCAAAACAGAAGAAAAGAAGTTCTCTTCAGATATTGCGTATTGTTTCTTAGATGGACTGATGGCAAATGGGACAAACAATAGGAAGATCATGCACTAACACTAGTGCATATCTTCTCCGTCGCTCAAATGCCATTGAATTTCTATGGTTGACAATCTCCACACAATTTCTCTAACTTCCACCCAACAAGACAAATGAAAAATGCCATCCCTGCCGGAGAAAAGTAAAAGGAAGCAGGCTAGGGACAAAGAACGAGTGGCGGATGATCATCATCTCCTCGAGACCGCTCTTCTCTCTTGTGTCACATTCTGCAGCTGTCCTTTTCTCCTTCTTTTCTTTTTCATTTTTATCAACAGCCTCATCCATTCTCATTTGCCTGAATAACAACGCAACATCTCTTAGCAATTGGTACAAACTTTTCCCAAAAGAAAAGAAAGGGAAAAAAAGTAGAGGAGTATTATACTACTAGTTGTTTATGGAAAGGAAAAAAAAAAAAAAAGGAACCCAATTAATCGAAAGAAGAGATCGAGCACTAGCTACAGGTAAATGAATTGATCGTATATAATACATACCATGGTGAGTTCGTTTGCAATGGAGGACTGCCTCGTAAATGGAGCTCTCAGAATCACAAGATCTACGCCAGTTGTCAGCGGACCATGCAACACTAGTCCTGGGAGATGTTGCAGGGGAATAAAACTCCGCGTTCTTCCCTTCATTTTCGCACCCTCTTGATGAACTAATGCTCGCAACTCTGGAAGAACCTGATCTGTGCCCTCTTAGTTTCTGGCAAAGCGGCCTAAGAAAGTCCATATACTTCTGAAAAATCCTCTTGGATAATCTCTTACACCTCCTCAACGACGAACATCGAACCCTGCTGGAAGAACGCACTGCTTCTTTATCATTCAGCGAAGAAACAATGAACGCCGGCGACGACGAGGATTCATGAGTACCTTCATCGCTCATGATCACCGGTCGGTTGCCGAAAAGTGGCATGAGGAATCCATCGGCCGAGATGAGGTCCTCGGCATCGGCAAGCGTTAGAGGGGCTGGTGAGTTGCGAAAATCGAAGCTGAAATCTTTTGGGACCCGGGAGAACCTCCTGGAGGGAGGCATTTTGGGGTCCATCTCAATGAAGGAAGCTTCGTCGGAGGCATCAAAGGAGGTGCTGCAGGATGACCTGTAGTCCAGGCAGCTTTCAAACGAAGATGGCTTTAAGTTCATTAGCCAACTATGCGAAAAGCTCTCGATGGAGAGTGATGCTGGGCTGCTGCTTTCCATTTGGTCGATGGACGCTATAAAATGATGGTGGTCTGCAGTGTAGAATGTATAGGAGTATTTTTTTTTGCTTTTTACTTTTTTTTTTGTTTCTGGGTACAAATTGGAAAGGAGGAGGGATGAGAATGAGAATTTGGCTGCTAAGCTAAGTTGGCTAAGTTGGCTGGCGCAGGAATTATACATGGTGGATTGTTGCATATATACGCGTTTAGACTATACTAAGCAGACGTGGACTTGGACTAGGAATATATGGTACTACTTGCTGACTTGGTATGAGTTTTTTTTTTTTTTCGCAAAGATAGATGTCCTGTAATCTACTTGGTATGAGTTTTTTTTTTTTTTTTTTTTTGTCAAACACTTGGTATGAGTTCTTGCTCGACCAAATTTATGTGGTGGCCTGACTACTATTGGTTAAAAAAAAAAAAAAAGGAAAAGGGGGGAAAAAAAAACAACAACAACAACAACAACGTATGATATATGATTTTCAAACTGTAAAGCAAAAATACTACTACTGTTATGTTGAAAAAGAAAGCAAAAGGGTGAAAAGGAAAAGAGAAAAGCAACCCTTCGAGTGGAATCTAAGGCTTGCCTAGAATACTTTGCAAACTTTTTAGGATAATGAACGGAGCTAAAAACGTTCATCATTCACTTTTTGACGCCGGCAGTTATACTTCTCCCATAAAGAGAATCACTTGACCTAAAAACCTTTCTAATTTCTTACCTTGATGACCCCCAAAAAATTATGCTTTTGTAAAACAATTGTAATGTTAAGAGTTCATTTCATTAGAGAAAGAGGTAAAAAAAAAATAAAAATTCCAAGAGGTTTATGCGATGACCATATCCAACTTATAGCTGTAGTGATTTTCTTATAATATAATCTAATCACAGAATTCAACTTAATCTTGTATGAAAACTGACAAGTTCTAAATCTTGACGGGTTGGAAGGGTAAGGGAAGGGTGAGAGGGATTAAAAAAAGAATTCCTTTAAAAAAAAAAAAAAAAGAGTTCTCAATCATCGTAAGACATCCAAAACATGTGTGATTGGGGATATACGACAAGGAGAATGCTAAAACTTAAGTATGGACTGGGTTGAGTATTATTTGAAATATTAATTGAAATAATTGTTGTAGTATTTTTTATGATGTAATGCATGTGAGATAAAATAATGGTTAATAATATAAAAAGGTGGATTGAAAAATGTATTTATGATGCAAGCGAAATATTATTTGAGATAATTTGTTATCCAAACACTGATTTTTTTCGACAATGAATTGATTACGTGTTGCATATGCACCGTTGGCCGAAAGTTTTCAACTTAAGAGACCATATCTATCTATTGAATATGATATAAAGTTATTGAAGCATACCTAACTATTTCACTGTGCGAAAATCATATGAACTACATTACAAACATGGTAGGAGCATTTACTTTGACAAAATTTATGATCTATTGCCTAAATTATTTTTTTTTTAACGAGAAAGCATTTACTGCAGCCTTGGTTTTGTTGTCATTGTCTGCAACTCTCTCTTTTTCTCTCTCTCTCTCTTTTTTTTTTTTAAGAAAAGTTTCTTTATTGGCTAATTATGCCTTAATTTTTTTTTTTTAAAACAAACGAACGATCATGCCTTAACTGGGCTAGCAATTAATGCGCTATGACAGCAACATATCAACTTATCAAGTACCGCTATCCACAGTGTAACGAACAAGCTACGAATTAAGATTTGTTAGGAAATTAGCTTAATTTTTTTTAGTCAAGATCCTTATTTGGTGTGAAAAGTAACTAGTTTCCTACTTGATTTCAGTTACTTGAAGTAGTAGTCAAGTAAAGTTCTATTTAGTTTAGAATTAGATGTTATTTTTACTCTATATGAGTTTAGGAATTAGTATTGGTTTCCAATTGTTATTTGATTTGTTTGCCAAGTAATGTTCTCGATAAATAGGTAAGTTGGCATACTACAAAAACACATAAGAAACGAGTGAGAAAGTTCTTAGTGGGTGAGAGGGTTATACAAGAGTTGGGGTTTGGGAATTAAGTTGTAATCTTGTGGTGTTTTTTCTCTCATAATAAGAACAAGTTTTCCTCTCCGTGGACGTAGGCTCGGTGATTAAGTCGAACCACGTTAATTCTTGTGCGTTGCTCATCGTTCATGCTAGATATTGTTTTCTATTAAATTGTTGGTCTTTGTTTTTTCAAATAGTTGGCCTGATGCCCTAACAAGATTCTACCCACTACAATTTCTGTATCCAAAAAATCATTAAACCACAAGAACTTCAACCAAATTTAAGCGATAAAAAAAAAACAAACGAAAGGAAAAAATTTTGAGAACTGCAGGAACATCGAAAGGAGAATGTCTCTGTCATGTTATTACTAGCATGATATCTGAAGCTTCAGCATGAAAACCGATCCACAATGCAACAAGGTATCCAGGAATTCCGACTTCAAGGCCCCAGTTTCTACATGCTCACAAAAGATTTGTAGCCTTAGAATTCGACCCATGGACTACGTGGGAAATAGGAGACCTATCATGCGTTGTCATCAAAGAATCTCAACGCAAAGAAATATCTAAGACCCGCTGGAATACCACTGATTACAGGACGCAAGCAAAATCAGCTAAGAACTCTGTCAAACGGGTTCCCAATTCCAGCGGCCTCAAGTGTGCACGAACGAACCATGTCTGCTCAACAGATGGGCAGGACCGATCGCCATTCTTCTCGGTGAAAATTGGACTGCTTCGCTCCCTTTTCATAGTCTCCATTTATCCATATACACACTTTTCAAGAAGCAAGAAACTCAATTTCTAGAAGGTTTTTTAAACTATGGATTTGAAGGAAACTCATATCTGCAAGCATATTGGATGCCAAATTCCAAAACACGGCATGCACGGTATAGAAATGTGGATAGTTTTGGCGGGAACGGCGAGCTTCAGTCATCATGCCAAAGGTCGGGGGAAAAAAAAGGCTTCTAAAAGAAAATAAAGAATATAGAGAGCTTCACCTGGAACCTAGGGGTTCGAGGTAATTATTACTGTCCTCTCAGAAAAAAAGAAGTGCCTAGCATCATGTCAAAGGGGGGGAGGAGACGAGGTTCGATGTGGTATGTTAAACTTCAAAAACTAGTTTGATTTTACAAACTCTAAATTGTGGGAATTATCTCATGAATTCGCGTATCTCCAATCAGCAATTGTGCATCTGATTGAACTCAAAATTGGGATATCTATTAACCCTCGTTACGTTGTATTTATATAGGGAATGAATAAGCCAAAGAAAACAAAGACACTACTATTTTTGAAGAGCGCAAGATGGGAATCAAGGACAGAATGGAGTGGAATGAAAATTGAATATTGCAAAGTTGCAATGAGATTATCAAATTCTGAACGTCGCTTCAAGTACTAACTAAAAGAATAAAAACTCGACAATGGGCTTTGCCTCGTCAAATCAGAAGAGACCATTTCGAGGGAGAGACTTCAACAAAACATGCACTAGTAAAAGAACTTGGAAAGCATGAATTGTACAGTTATGTGACAACACAAATGACGTCTAATCTGCGCCCAAACTCACATCACTTGCATCAAATTATGTACATCTAAAATCAGAAAAACCTGTTTCAAAATTTTCCTGGGGATTCGTGGATTTACATCCACCAATAACATGAGCAGCAGCGCTTTATCAGTTCCCAAGTTGCTATGCCACAGAAAGCCACATATCATTTTCGTTCATAATTGTACTATTATTATTATCTGCAAACAATGAAGAGAGACAAAAATACCAGACACAGGTCCCCGCAGGTGTCGGAGAAAGATAGAGCCATCAGAAAAGCTCAGAGGGGGCAAAAACCAGAACTGGAAAGCGGCCCGAAACCGAATGGTCCCTCTGCTGTCCCCTTAAAAGACAAGAGGGTATTCCAAAGGTACACGGATATGTTTAAAAATCGTTAAAGTCCACAGAATGTCTTCAATCATGCCAGAGCTAACTAATGAGTCATGAGCAAACAGTATCTCAAAAAAAGAAATAATGGTAGAAGGATTAAAATTAATCAATAAATGAAGAAATGAAGTCCCATGACCATGACGCAATCACGGAGGCGAAGCTTCCAATATTGTCATTGACAAGAATTTTGACCCTGATGTTGCAGAAATATTTCAATGAAAGCTGAAATCCTCACCCAACAGAACTACGGATATCTTTCTTTTTTCCCCCGGGGAAAAAGAGGAGGGGGGGAGGAGCAAAGAAAGCTTTCTGCCTGCTGCAACATTGGACTAGATAAGCAACAAGCAAGAGACATGGAATACATGATGATTGAAATTTTCAGATGAACATCATAAGGTGGTAGGCCATGCTAACAATTAAAAGATATTAGTTTCATGGACATGCATCCTAGCAATTATCTCCTTCATTTTCTTATGTCTATCACTAGATCATTCATCAGAGTGGCCTAAGACTACATTGTTGGCGTTGATCTGTTATTCATTTATTTTGTTACATCTGGTTACAAAGCACCTTTAGTAAACCTTTTTACAAATTCAAAATAACAAAAGAAAATCTTACCCTAATTCAATCGAGCTGGAATCAGTATCATTACATGTTAATGCAGCATAACCGTCAGCAAAAGAAGAGCATAGTCGGACATAATGCGGAGAGAATTTACGCTCAGTTGCATTGAGTAACAAAGAAAAGTTCATCCGCCATAGATACGTCCAAAGAAGAACAAGACATGGACAACTTTTGAATATCGTGAATTTTTGAAAGTAGGTATATACATATAAACCGAAATTTTACTTTAAAAGATCTAGAAATACAAAGGCATTCCAAAGGCTATGCAAGAGGATCGATGCAAACAAGTTTCTTGTTCGTGCAAAAACGACACCCATTACTATTCCCAGGAATATAAGTGGAAGCATTCTCTGCACATTGAAATGTGCCAAGGCAAAAGCTACTGAACTCACCAAAATTGAGGACCATACAGGCATGTACTTAGTTAAGGAAGGGAGCAGAAATCCCCGGAAGACAACCTCCTCCCATATGGGGGCACAAACTGCAACAACTATCGCATACAGGGTCATTGCTATTGGATCCCTTGCAACAATAGATTGCTCAACATTTGAGACTGTGACAGGTGAAGAGGGAAGCAACGGAAATAAATTTAAGTTGACCTGTGACAGCTGATTAACAAGGGGAAACATAAGACAGCCCAAGCCAACATCAATTTGCCACTTTCCTCGGAAACTAAACCTGAACCAGTCGGATGAAAGTGGGTGGAACCTTGCAAGGCAGCGATGGAGGATTGCAATGCCAGTAAGGCCTTCAGCAACATCTGTCAAAAGGCTGTATAAGGCCTGCCCTCTGTACGTCAATGACTCCTTTCTGAAACCCAAAGCATATGCCAGGAAAGGAACAATCCAGGATCCTACCAACCAGAATGAAGAAACCCACAGGAGCATAACCTGCAAAAAAACAGATTCTTACTCCCTAATTGAGAAATTTTACAAAAATTTTCATTCAATGACAGAAAGTTTCATGTTAATCTTATAACCGAATGCTCACTGAAAACATGCCCCTTCTACAAAGAATAAAGGCATTAGGATTGCAGTACAAGTGGTTGGTATAATTACTTGACCAATGTAAGTACATCTATTGCAAGGTATTTCTCACATTCTCTAGTGGTTCTTTACTTATATAGCTATCTAATGAGGACTTGGAAAAGAAAATGACAGGGTGACAAATTTTCTATGGCAGATTAAAAAAGATACTTTGCAGTCTACATCCCAGTCAGGTTCAAGCAAAATTTTATTTAATTAACGCAGTTATACTCTTGACATTTTCATGGGAAATCATGTCTACAAGCAAATGAAAGAAAAAGTAACCAACTTTTCATCACAATACTAGAGAGTAGTAAATTATTTTGATGTCAAAGAGTTTGAATAAACAATTCTGTTGTTTTATAAAAGAAACTATACCTGTATAACAGTCTTAGCTGTCCACGGCACTACCCAAGGCTCTGCCCTAAAAAACGCATCTCTGGCCTGCAATAAGAGCCTAAAATTATCATAAATATCAAACACCAACCAAAAAATTATGGAAGTCTCCTGATAACCATCATTAAGGACAACCAGCATGGAAGATGTAAATAAATGCAGCGGAATAACCCAATGAAGCACAAAAACTTTTTGCTCGTGAAAGGTTTCAAACTCAATCAAATTAAGTTTGCTACTTCAGTGATTTATTTTAAGAGATTGCAAATTAACATATCTATTACATCAAAGTCCAAGCGAAAGTGAACATAGTACCAAAGCATCATTGGTCAGAAATAAATATCATGCTCAAGTAAAAAACGGAAGCAGCTAGCCACAGGTCAAATGAACGTTAAGTTTGGAATCCAGATCAAAGGTCCGCTAAATGTATCTGGACTGAAAGATGACAACAAAATGCTCCTAAAGCAACTAGAACTGCTGAGGTTTAACCCTAAAAGATCTGCAAATCCAAATGAAGAACATTCTTTAACTGTCAGCTAAATTTTTCTTATTCTTGCTTAGGAGCTGGGAACAGGGATCTTTTAAGTAAGTGCACAATACCTACCATTAGCTAAACTGTTTTTATCGCTGCATCAAATAAAACAGAGCAGTTGTTTGAATAGTAAACATTTGTACAAGGCACTATATCTGTTTCATGAATACACAAGAATTCAATAAGTGAATGGTAATTTTAAGGTAAGTACTCAAAGGTACCCAGCAATAATCTTCTGATGAATATAATCTGTGTCTAGAAATGGATGCAATGTTATCTGCAACAGTTAACTGGTTTTTTGAGAAAAGATCTATCAAAAATTAAAAAAATTACTTCATATCTACATAGCAGCAAACTATGTTCATAAACAACTAAAAGTTTTGTTAATTTCATCAGACGTCCTGTTGAGCCCTCATACTATTATGTTTTCAAACACTCAAGGCTACTGCAAGCTGAGGTACATAATCATACCTGCATTGTAGGTTTTTGTCTTTGCTTTAAAAAAACCAGCGTAAAAGGTGCTGTGACGTAACTATCTAAGGACATAATACTCAACTAAACTGAATAAAGAAGAGCTCAGTTTCAAAAGATGAAGTAATATCCGACAATCAAACAAAAGTACTGTGAAGAAACAGGTCAAAGAAAGTGCCTTATACTTGGTTGATGATGCCAACCTTCCTTAAATCTGAAATCCCATTCACGTTATTTGGTTGATCGAAAGCGGGAACTTCCTGGGAGAAGTTATTCTCTCCAGCCTCAGGCTTGAAAAACTCTGAAGGGGAGCCTTCATGCCTAAGGCAAAAAATTCTCCACCTCTGAAAACAAGGAAAGACAAGAAAGAAGCATTAGATATCAGGATCTTACCTTTAGTTTCTGAAACATCAATAGAGGAAAAACAAACTTAAAAACTTTCTTTCCAACATTCACGCCAAAATTGCTGAAAATGAGACGACGACTTTAACACAAAGTATCATTTGCATGCCCGGAAAACGGTCAATGATCATGCAATGTAGAATTAAAGCTAACAAGGTAGGAGCTATAAAGGGAAAGAAAGAAAAGAACCATTGCTATCCAACCCAAAATTAGTCCAGCCGGTTACAGTACAAGCCTTGTTCACCTTAATAGTAGTTGTCAAAAGGTGAACGAGGCTATGCACCTCTAGTAGTACCACGCGAGGCAATTTTCTTAAAGGCTAGCTCCTATGTGCAAGGCTCAGGGCCGGCCAGGTGTGAGCCTCTAAAAATTTGAGCTACTTTTGTGTTGTCTCATTTCCCGAAAGACTCATTCAGAGAATACTAATGAACAGAAAAAGAATTTGAAACACCATCCACAAGAGGATATTGATTATTTTCATATACATTTCCAGTTTACAGCATCCGCAATATCAACAACTGTAGAATTCATGTCAGATCATGTTCAGATCAAGACATTCAATTTGAAAGAAAAGGCTAACAATCGCATAAAATGTATCAGTGGTCATTTTAATTTATTTCGAGTACCCAAATTTTCAATTAATTATAAAATGATCATTCGATTCCGAGATTGACTTCCACATTTCTTTTTCTCTCTTTTTTTCCGCCTCCCTTGAAACAGCTCTTCATCAATTCCAGACCAAATATTCGAATAAAAATGCCAATACTGATGGAAATAACCCCCTATTGAATGCATGTGTTGAAAACCAGAGGATGAGAAATTAGATAAATCATACATTGTTGGAAGGAGACCTGCCGGCGAGAGAATCAACGAATGATGAGATTGGATTGAAAGTGAAAACCTGTTTTCGGACCTTGACAACCCCAACCCTAACCCTAGCCCTAACAAGTGTTGAATTGGGGATTCTGTTAACGGAGGAAGGATGGTACGCGAGGAGAGAGGCTGACATGGACCAGCGGTTTGGTTAGAACCTAGAATCCGGAAGCTAAGGTATTAAGGCTCTGTTTGGGTTGCGATGCATCAGACGTTCGACGCTGCTGCTCGTTGCACTTGCTGAATTAGAGCCAGACTAACAATGCCTAAACTTTGCGATTCAATTGAATATTCGGTTCTGGAAAGTGGAAGCAAGTCACCTGGCCATTTTGAGCTTTTTCATTCCATTCTTTTTCTCCTTTTTACTCCTTTTTTTTTTTTGGAAAAAAAAAATTTACACACCACGCGCTGAAGCCGAAATTGACGATTTAGCCCTTTGTTCTACCGGGTTGATCAAATGGAACCTTAAATATTTACATGTTTCTAGTTGAGTCCTCTCAAAAATAAAATTTGTAGCAATATATTTTGCCAATTAACCTCTTGTCTCTGCGTGTCTTGTTGGACAACAAATCTATGGCCCATTAGACGGGTTGCTCTACTTATGGAGGTCAATTACCAAAAATCCATTCCCCAAAAAAGTAGTAAATAAATTGGCATTCGGCAATCTTATGTACATGGCACAAGTATTATCCAAGTTAAATATTTCAAATTTATGAGTACCTACTTTCATAATTAGGTAAGAAGAAAATGCATGGTTTGTTATGGTTAATGTAGCTTTGACATTGAAAGATGTACGTATCATGTTTTAAATTATTTGATGTGTAAGTTTGTGTTGTGTATAGTTATTTTCAATTAAAATCAACATTCTAAAAATCATGTATTCTTAAAATTGTCTTTAAAAAATATTTGTTTTCTTTTTACCTATCACATGACCAAAGATTAACACAACAAAATGACCTTTGAAAAAAGGAGTTATATTTGATTAGAAAAAAAGCTTGATCTATTGATGAAACACATTGTATTGTAGGTTTCTAGTAAGGAGGGAGAACCAAAAAAAAAAAAAAAAAAAAAAGCAAAGTGGAGACTATGACATTAATACAATCCTAGTCTTTTGTCCAATCAATACGATCTTATCGTTTTGTCCAATCAATACAATCCCATTATTTCGACCCAAAAAAAAAAGAGCCTATGACATTAAGAATCAAACTTTATTCTAAGAGGAAAAACACGACCTAATTGTATGAGGTGATTGGTTTCACAAAATCTAAGCTCGTAGTCTTTTACCTTTAGGGAAATTATGGGGAAAAAAAGAATATTTTTTGTTTTCTCTAATCTTGTTCTTATGCCCTTGTGTGTGTGTGTGTGTTTCTTTTCTTTTTTTTTGGGGGGTTATGCCCTTGTGTTTGTCAATCAAAACTGAGAAATTTAACCTACTTTTTGCCTGATTCACAAGAAAAAAGAAATAAGAAGAATAAAAAGTCATGGCCCTGAATAATGGAGGCCCGACAATAATAGGTGGGACGCATATCTGTTTTCTTTAAATCATATCACAATCATGGTGCATTACGTATCAATACAATACAGATGCAGGATAGGAAGGGTAATTGCCAGAATACCCCACTTTGACCATGCACGCACAAAGTCAGAAGGGTTAGTTTTACGTTGACAAAATTTGAGGATGCCAACTGATAAGTTTCAATTCGACGTTGTTTTTCACAATGAAGTTCTCCCTGCTTTCTATTTCTGCTTAGGTTCTCCTCCTCCTCCTCCTCCTCCTCCTCCTTGCTATATTACTAAAACAAACACTTGGAGAAATTCATGCTCGTAGATTGAATCAGTTTTGATGTTCTAGTTTGAAATTTTGTATTCGCGAACTTTGGCAGTTGGAACCCCTTCGTCTTATATACAGTAAGGTATTTTTGTAGTTTTAGATCAAGACATCCAAAAAATTAAAGAAAATAATTGTTCTGAAGCATTTTTTTTTTCTTCACCATTGTCAATACGAATGGTTAGGAATGGAAAACGAAATAACTGGCGAGTAGGAAGTTTCAGATGTTAATGGCGAGTGTGAAAAAGAGAAAAAAAAGAAATCACATTGTGCATTTTGGAGTGTATATAGTCAAAGGGCGTCTTTAAAGTTTGAAGGCCACAAAGAGATATACACGTACCTGCAAAATCCAATAATTTCCCAAGCCGACCATTTCCTGGATTTTGTTTTTTTCAACATTGTAGCTCAACCACCACTGTACACGTGTTAAATCATAACCATTTTCTTGCCCTTTTTTTTGTTTTTTCAACACTAAGCTATGTTATTTCTCCCTCCATTCTCTCTAATTCAATCCGCAAGAAGTAGTTTTCCTTGATAAATAAGACACCAAGCCAATTCGGGGGACGTTTCTAAAACTTTTTTTTGGGGGTTTAAAATTCTTCTCGGCGTCTTTCAGCTTGAGAGAGCTCAATTACCATGGCTTTCCATTCTTTAATGATCACCCTTTGGACCTTCTTATGTTTGCTAATTTTAGCTGACATTGATGGATGCATGGGTGGGAGAATTAGCCTGGGTTCCAGATTGCTAGCCTCTGAAAACCAAACGTGGAATTCCGACAATGGAACATTTGCTTTCGGGTTTGCCGCTGCAGACTCGCGTAATGATCAGTTTCGTTTGGGCATTTGGTTTGCAAAACTTCCTGGAGATCGAGTACTAGTTTGGTCCGCTTACATGTGAGTTCACCTTATAGCTGAATTCCATTGCTTCGGCTTCTGCTTGCACAAGCACAACTTGAAATTGCATGGAGTTGTTACTTGTATCATTTCATGCATGCTGTAGATTTGAGAGCATACTAGCCAAATATTTTGTTGCTCACACAAGATATTAGTATTTCTGTCGAGTCTGGTGCATATATTTCCTGTTCATGTTACTGTTTTTACCAACTTAAATTACATGGTTGGTTGGACATACCAACTTTAGTTGAATTGCTAATATAGAATAGTCCATCTCATTTATCCTTTTTTGAGAAAAAAAAAATGAAAAGAAAATCAACAGATTGACACCCTGCCAGTGCTTGAGCGTTTTGTGAATGTATCATTCTTGATCTAGTGTGAGAAAATAATCCCTTAATTCTCCCTGTAATTCCACATTAAAACCCTGCTTAGTTGTGATGCAAGAAAAAGAAATCACGAGATTGGATCTTTTTGGTTCTACAATTAGAAGAAAGACTCAGCATATTGCTCCATCAGTAGTCTTCAGTCTTTACTTCAAGCTATTTGCAGGTGTGTGTGTGTGTGTGTGTGTATATCTTTGGCCAACCCTTTCACTTTCTCTCAATGATCATCTGAATAGAAACTCTCCAGTCAGCAAAGATGCAATCTTGGAGTTTGACACCACCGGAAGTCTTCTGCTTATTGATAAACACACCACAGTTTGGACTTCAAATACGTCCAATGCAGGTGTGGAAGCAGCATCCATGTCAGAAAACGGCAATTTCATTCTATACAGCAGGAACCTAACTGTTGTTTGGCAAAGTTTTTCACACCCTTCTGATACACTTCTACCAGGCCAACCCTTATCAGTCTCTCTCGAATTAACATCTTCAATATCACCTGCATATGGTGGTTTTTATACACTGAAAATGTTACAGCAGCCCACTTCACTAAACCTCGCTTTGACATATAACTTGCCTGAGTATGGTTTTATGCCTGAACTTTATGCCAATTACTCCTACTGGTCAGGACCTGACATATCCAATGTGACCGGCAATGTACTTGCAATTTTGGATGAAGCAGGAAGTTTTGGAATCATGTATGATTCGTCCTCTGATGGAGCCGTCTATGTCCACAAGAATGATGGTGATAATGGAGGCTTATCCTTGGCCACAAACCAGACAGACAGGCCATCTGTTCTTAGGCGATTGACGCTTGAGATGAATGGCAATTTACGGCTTTATCGATGGGACAATGATGTTAATGGCTCACGGCAATGGGTCTCAGAATGGGCTGCCGTCTCTAATCCATGTGATATTGCTGGTATTTGCGGGAATGGGATATGTAATTTAGACAGGAGTAAGACGAATGCATCCTGCACATGCTTGCCAGGTTCCAATGCTGGCAATGACGGATACTGCTGGGCAAATTCATCTCTGACTGGGAAATGCGGCCGTCATCATGAGAATCTTACATCCCAGTTTAAGATTTCAACACTTCAACAAACTAATTACTATTTCTATGGTTCATCAGTTATAGCAAATTATAGTGATATAGGGACTGTATCAAAGTGTGGTGATGCTTGTCTATCTGATTGTGACTGTGTTGCTTCTGTTTACGGGCTCAATGAGGAAAAACCTTACTGTTGGGTTCTGAGGAGCCTGGAGTTTGGTGGCTTTGAGGATCCAGGCTCGACCTTGTTCGTGAAGGTTCAGTCGAATGGCTCATCTGAAAGCACAAAAGATTCATCTTCAGATGGGTCTGAGATATCAAAGAAGAAGATTCTGGTGCTTCCAATTGTCCTTAGCATGATGGTCCTGATTGTGCTGCTCGTTTGCTTGCTATACATCAGTGTTCATAGAAAGAGAGCCTTAAAGAGAGCCCTTGACAACTCTTTTATTTTCTCTGGAGCTCCAATTAAATTCAGCTACAAGGAATTGCAGTACAGCACCAATAACTTTTCCACCTTGATTGGAACAGGTAAATACTGAGCAACTTTAAACTATTCGGGAAAGCAAAATATTAGACAAATTTGTGAAATAAAAAAAAAAGGTTATATTGAGTCTAACGTAGCCAAATTTGACAGGTGGATTTGGCAGCGTATACAAGGGAACCCTAAGTGATGGAACGCTGATTGCAGTCAAGAAGCTTGACAGGATTCTGCCACATGGGGAGAAAGAATTCGTTACAGAGGTGAATACCATAAGTTCCATGCATCACATGAACTTGGTTCGTCTCTGCGGATACTGCTCGGAGGCGTTGCAAAGGTAAAGATTTTTCCAGCAGAAGAGATTCAAATTCATAATTTCCCATAGCACCTTCAACTCCAAAAATCGCTATTTTCTCAAACTCTCCTGCAAAACTTGATCATTGACAGGCTCTTGGTTTATGAATTCATGAAAAATGGGTCGTTGGACAAATGGATATTTCCCTCCAACAATTGCCAAGACAGGCTACTCGATTGGTCAACGCGCTTTCATATAGCTCTCGGCACCGCCCAGGGAATTGCCTACTTTCACGAGCAATGCCGGGATAGGATAATTCATTGTGACATCAAGCCGGAAAATATCCTGTTGGATGAAAATTTTTGTCCGAAAGTGTCTGATTTTGGACTAGCAAAAATGATGGGGAGAGAGCACTCACAGGTGGTCACCATGATCAGAGGAACCAGAGGCTATCTAGCCCCGGAATGGGTCAGCAATAGGCCCATAACCGTAAGGGCCGATGTTTACAGTTATGGGATGCTTCTTCTGGAGATCATTGGGGGGCGGAGAAATCTTGATATGACTTTTGATGCAGAGGATTTCTTTTTCCCCGGGTGGGCTTTCAAGGTAAATGAGTATACCTGAAGAGTTTTCATGGATGTTTGCAAGCATTTCTTCTGACTTCAGTTCTTCCTTTTGTTTATTGAGAAGCAAAATGATACAACAAATAGCACTCACTGATGTATTTCCAGGAATTGACAAGCGGATCAGCAATGAAAGTTGCAGATAGACGAATGGAAGGAAGAGTGGAAGAAGGAGAGCTGATAAGAGCTCTGAAAACGGCATTCTGGTGCATCCAAGATGAGGTTTCCACGAGACCCTTCATGGGTGAAGTGGTGAAGATGCTGGAAGGAACAGTCGACATTAATACGCCGCCAATGCCACAGACCGTCCTAGAGTTGATTGAAGAAGGGTTGGATCATGTGTACAAGGCCATGAAAAGAGAGTTTAACCAGTTCAGCTCCTTCACCATTACCTCTCATCCATCGTCTCGCGCTACATGCAGTTATTCCACCATGTCACCTAGATGATCACCTAGATGACAATTAAAATCAGGAAAAGAATCGATTAGGATGGGATCAGGTACATCATGTAAAAATGTAGGCAGGCACTTCCATGCATATCAATCAAGCACTGTTTTTGCTCATTGTACATGGGGTGTTAATGTTCTCAAGGTGATTCAGATTTAGAATTCCAATTTCCATCGAGTAATTAGATGCAGTAAATAATACTAGTAGTATTACCACTACACTTTTATATATGTAGAACAGTTTTTATCTTTTCCCGAAGTAATGATTGGTTGAAGAAGCTGCAATGATGAAGAGTAAATTTCAGTTTGAATGTATCATATACTCTAAAGTAACTAACTGTACAAATATCATTTTAGTTTGGGTTAATTCCACTTTGTCCCCCCAAACTTTGGACGATTATCCACTTAAGTCCCTAAACTTCAAAATGGGACACTTAAGTCCCTAAACTTATAAATACCTCCCACTTAAGTCCCAGAACTTATAAAATGGGACACTTAAAACCCTAAACCCTTATAAAATGGGACACTTTGACCACCCACGACATTCAGGATTTGTTAACAATTTTCCTTAAGTGGGAGGTACTTATAAGTTTAGGGACTTAAGTGTCCCATTTTGAAGTTTAGGGACTTAAGTGGATAATCGTCCAAAGTTTGGGGGGGCAAAGTGGAATTAACCCTTTTAGTTTTAGATAGTATAAAGCATGAGGCATGGGGTTGGTATAGAATTTTTTTTCTCATATTTAATTTTTTTTCAATTTTACCATCACAAAAGTAAATATTTACTAAGGATATCTTCTTCTTTTTTTTTTTTTCTGTTTGCAAATAAATCACAATATCTTTTATTTTCTTTCTTGTTTGCAACGAAAAAAGGACTTCTAATAATTCCATTGATTTTAATAAAAATATTTTTTTAAAAAAAAAAATTTACACACCATAAGGCGTGCTATTTTCCACTAGTCATAATAAAAAATCGTTTTTATTATGCCAATTACGAGGTGGGGACCCGGACATACGAAGAAACGACAGCGTTGCCCGGGTTCAGTCATCTCCTTACGTATCTATTACTGTTCGTTTCCGGCCTACAGGGGGGGAAGTCAGAAATCAATCAAGTCCTCCTCCGCATCAACGAGATTTGTAGGAGCTGTCGGAAAATTTAGAACACCATCGGTCGGAACGCCGGACGAGAGGGCTGAGAACGGCTAGAGATAAACAAGGCCGTAGTAAGACTCAAATATTTGTCTCCATTTGGTGAGTATAGTAGTTCTACTCTCCCGAAATTAGTGCCCGTTCAATTTCTAGGAGCTGATTTTTTCTATTTGAATTTAATTTTCATTCGTTCTTGATTTCGGAAATTATAAGCTAAGCTCTAAGGCTGTATCCATTACTTGTGTATTGACTTTGCAAATCGAGTTGATTCAACTACTATGCTACTAATTTCTGTTGATTTTCTATATTTGGCTGTATTAGCTTTCCATGGAATTCTTATTAAGAGTACTGACCAGTTAGTGCTAAACGATTAAGAATCTCTAAAATTATTTTAGTGGGATTTGAATAATTGTTGTGCATCAACTTGCACAATGCCCCCGTGAGAGAGAGAGAGATTTGTCCAACCGGATCAAATTCTTATAGTTTCTGAGGAGAATATACAAGGAGCTAAGACTAAGGAGGAGGTGAGGAATTGTTGCAAAAATTCTACTGAATAATTTAGGAAAGTCCAACCGAACCAAATCCTTACTAGCTATTCTAGAGAAGTGCACACTACTGCCACTTTTATATAATTCCTTTAACATGACGTTTACTTTATTTGATTAACATAAACTAAAAGCTGAGACAACTAAGCTCGGTAGACTATGTTTATCAATGCAGCCTATTTATTTTCATATTCAGTATCACTAACAAGTTGGGTTCATTTTTTTTTTTTTTGTGAATTCATGATTTCAAATTTGGAGCATTTTAGGTTTCTTCTGTCAAAAAACTATGCAGTGTTTAGTGTTGTCTAAGTTTCTTACTTGAGAAAAAGCACAGTGTATGTGTTAAATTCATTAACACCCACTCAAATGCTCTTCTATTTTCATACCCAAGTATTTGTTTTCCATGCTGTGTTACCCTTAGAGCTTGATTTACGATACCAAACCTGGATTTTTTTGTGGTCAATTAGAGGCTAGAATTTTTCTCACATATTCTAACTTGGAGTACATTTTGCACAGAATTAAATTATGCTGGTCCTTGGCTTTGAAGTACTGAGAGGCTTGCCTTTCTGAGAGATGATAACAGGGCAAGATGGAAAATATGCTGTATGCGGAGGAGCTTGTTAGAGAGTTCCTTGTGTTCAGAGGATTCACTACTACTCTCCAATCTTTCGAGAAAGAGTTAGCCACTGATGTTGGTAAAGGGTTTCAAGTCGAAAAGATGTTGGACTTGGTTTTCTCCATGTATATTCCCAAGTTTCAGGCTGAAAGTTTGGTTGATCTGTTGAGTTTTTTCAAGCAGTGCTTTTCTTCATCTGAAACAGCACATATTGAAGCACTGTTGAAGTTGCATGTCTCTATTCTACGTTATTATATAGTATATGCAATACAATCAAGAAGGAAGGACAAAGTCGTGGAATTCTTTGATGCCCATGGGACTAACTTGCTCCAAAACGACCAAGAGTGGGCCTCATGGTTTGGTGGGTCTTCTCTCGCTCTTTCTCTCTGTCTATCTATCTATCTATCTTGACTCTTGGTTGTCACCAAGTACAATCATGTTTTTTTTCCTGATTTACATCTGCCATATGAATTCCTGCAGCCATTCCATATCTCAAGAACCCACATTTGGAACCACAGTTTCGCATGTACTTCACAAAGGAGTGGTACAATGCACTGCATCTGTCTGTTAGAAATTTCTTGAGCAAGATGTTTAATGGTACTCATATCCTTCAGTACAGAATATCTCTTTCATTTATGTCCTTCATCTTTTCCAATTTTTTCCTGCAAATGTATTAAAACTTTTTCATTGATTATGGTTCTATAGATTCATAAGTCTTACTGGTAATATCTTAACGTCTGCTTTACTTATTTCTTCTTCGAATTTGTTGAATTTAGCATGATCATTTATGTTCAAGAATGGATATAAGTCTGTTTCAGTGAAGCTTTCTATACTTGACAAGTTGGATGCAATTAGTTGAAAGACAACAGTCTGTCTGATGCATCTATTACAGTTATCATTGCTAAAGATTAAGTCTTGTTACACCCATTTGGATTGGATTGTACCAATCTTCTCCTTGACGATTCACGAATCCCAGCTCTATTGAAGATCAGTTCTGAAAGGATCACTGTGAACCACCTCAAGAAGGACATTAAACAACTAAATCTTAAACTGTCAGAACTCCAGGCCTTGTTGGAGGAAAAGGAGGCCCAATTAAGTCAGTCAAGGAGGTGAGTGTGATTAATGTTGATGCTTTGCAGTGTACAATGATAGTAACTTCCTTGTTTTTATGTCAGCAATGCTTTATTACAAGCAGAAGTAGGAATCCTGGCAACAAACAGCTCATCAAAGTTTGCAGCTGCTAATGCAGAAGAAAATAGCATTTCACGAAGGGTAAAATCGACATCTGATCTTGGTAAAATCAACAGCATTCAGGATCAAAGTGGTGATATGCCTGCTGAGGATTTTCATTCAACTTCTAGGGTAGATAGTCATCTTAGTGGGAGTGAAAGAAGCCATGATTTGATAGCAGCACAAGGTAATTTATTGGTGATACAGAACCTATATATCTATATAGAATGTAGAGGGAGAAAACTGTTTAATTTGGTATGTAGTGTATTTTCTCTTTTTACTTTCTTTGTGAAACTAACTTTTGAGGAACTAACTACCAATGGTTATGAAAACTAATCTTAAGTGCACATCTAGAGGAAAAACACAAAATTAGAAATAAAATCCATATTATTTTTTAATTCAAAATTTAAAATTGGCAAAAATGTACCACTTAGTTTTTAGGAATTACTTTTTACAAATATTTTAACAATTTGTTATATTGCATACGTGTTAGGTGTGCCATTCACGCTACTTTATATAAGTGCGAAATTAGGTAAAATTTGATCTTTTGGCACAAAGGAAATGAATAGTGTACAACAACACAAAAGATGGATACCCCTGTACTCATTGATGTGGACATCTTGTCCATCATTTCCACAGAAATAGTAAGGTGGCAGTATAACTCGAAATCACAAACTGGCTTCTTGGATCACAGACGATACTCTTGTTCAATTGTTACATCTTGGTAAAAACTCAAAAAGTTACTTCTTTTATTGCTGAATGGTTACCTATGAAAATTTTTTTTCAAATTCGCATACCAAGTTTAGTTGAATAGTTGATTAGGCATCAGTTACTACAAGCGCCACTTTTTACAATTTCATAGTTGAAGGTCTGCTCTAAATTGGCTTTTAAAGCAGTGGGTTGTGAGTTTGTGCTTAATGATTTGGTTTTAAATCAAGTTTGCCTAAAGTGCCATGATTGTTCGGGTGTTTTGTAATTTTTTTTGGTCATTTTATTGCAGAAACTGATGGTGAAATGCATCGAGATGAAGATTTTCCAGAAGTGAAAGTTGAATTTCAGGTAATCTCATTAAAATTCCTCTTGCAGTGCTTTTGCCTTTTTTTTTGGTAAAAGCTTTTGATCACTCTGTTTCAAGTCTTAAAAATCATCTTTAATAATCTTTATCACTTTGTAACATCATGCTTCTGAAACTGTTAATTGGCAGGAGAGATTTTTGGGCCACACGAGTCCAATCAGCCGTTGTCGTTTTTCTGCATCTGGAGACAATATTGCAAGTGCTTCTGTAGATGGCACAGTCAGGTATGCAACCAAGCTAAACTCCTGGATTCATTTTAGCTTAAAAGTATCCTTTTGTTTATAGTTATTTGTTTTATGACGACTTCTGTAATCTTAAATGAAGGATTTGGACGTATGATTCATCAGCGCCTGCATCGAGGAATGCAACCATCTATTGTGGTGCTGAGGTCCTGTCACTTGAGTGGGATTGTAAATCTGATCGCTTGGTATGTACGAGCTGGCAGTATAACCAATCACAATATGTGTCTTTGTCTATGTGTTTTTCTTTTCACTTTTTGATGAATAGATGTTTGATTGCTACCTGAGTGGATCTAAGTGCAAATGTTTATATTGTTGATCTTGGTGAAAGCTTCTTATTGGGACTGCTGATGGATGC